ACAACCAACGTTCAAATATTAGACAGAGGAAACACCAAGAATGCCAGAGAATTTTTAGAAGCTTGGCATTCCAGTGAATCATCAATCAATAGACACATCGAGATAGACAAAATTAGAAACCTCACACACAAAGGGTGAAAGTTCAAGTCAAAGAAACAATCAGTTCCAATACAAGTAACCTAGAAGGTGTGAAAACACACAAAAACAACCAATCACATCCAAGGTCACTAGCCAGGAGAGATGATTAATAAACTCGTGGAGAAATCTATAAGCTCACTTCAACAAATTGAAGTATGCGCTGAAGATGTCGCCTAGTAGGGTGGGCAATGAAAGCTTCGCAAATTAACTATCCAGCTAGCTCAGAGAACACAACCACATCAAAAATAGATCTATCTGAGTAGATATTGTAGTGATTAACCAACACTTAGATATCATTCCTTCATAAGATGACTAAAAATGATGACTTGGCTTCTCCTAGGTTTTTTTTCATTCTCTGAGTTTGTTAGTTTAATTGCCAAACTTTCATTACCATCTTTTTTAGACAACATATTCAGTGACGAGTTTATCATTTGGGTCTAATAGGTCAGTTAGCAGATCCCGAGACTCTTGAAGTTCATAGCTCTGTGATGCATATCCTGTTGCAGTCCAGATTACTGCATTTCACTTTTTGATCATTGCCCCCTAATTTAAAACTAACTAAGATAGTCTCACTGTCAAAAATGTACATTCATACATTACCAGTTAAACACCATGTGTATACCGTAATATATATGGAAACTACATCTGTTTGAAAGGCGAGAACAAGGTGAGAATTTTAACAGGTTTCTTTTTATGGGGCTTAGAATTCCATTGATTAACCTGTTATCCTTGTTTTTTCTAATGTTTTTTTTATTTACACAGCCAACAGGCTACAAATTTTCATCAACAGCTGCCTTCGTTCCATACTGAAGATAAGATGCCCTGCCAGTAGGGTCCTTTACTTGCAGGCTGCTTCTTAGCAAGTCTAGAGAAATAGTATGTTACAACCCACTATCGATAGTTTTCATATATAACAAAGATACATGAATGATACTTTTATCATATGTGACGAGAATACTAACATTGAAATGATAGCTAAGGAGTTCAACAACTGCCATCATGTTATCCAGTTCACGTTGGAATTAGAGATGAACATGGAATAGCATTTTTGGGATGTTTTTCTAAAAAGGAAATCTGATGGTTCTCTTCAAAGATCAATCTACAGGAAACCAACATGGAATGGTCCATACATGAATTTTCATAGTTGCGTCCTTTTGAGAAGAAAGAGAAATCTAATCCACTCCTTCTCCTCAAGAATAACAAGGATATGTACCAGTGATACAATCTGTAGTGAACTGAAGTGACTTAAACGAGTTTTTATGGAAAATGGATATCCTTCAAGATTCATTGAGAAAAACATGGAAGGAAAGCAAAAACCCTAAAGAACCTAAATGACACCGAAGAAACTGCTGTTCATGAACGTTGAATTTAAAGGTGATATCAAAGCTGAAATTCTGAAGAATAATTTTCCAGATCACTGAGAAAAGCCTTTTTTCGGCTAAGCCACGGATCAATTTCTACAGCCGACAAATGATCAATGGATGTGTGAAGGATAAACTACCACTTTGGGCCACTTCAACGTGTGTTTATAAATTCATCTGCTCCTATGGACCTAGTTATATTGGCCGTACGCTTTCCAAATGCATCTCTGAACATTATTCTGCATGGTTAGCAAAAGGAAAATGCAAGACAGTTACTAGCTCAATTCTCGAACACCTGGTGAACTCAAGCCACGCAGCTCCACCAGAGTCATCTTTCAAGATCATCTACAAGGTAAGGCCAAGTAGAACAAAGGATGTCAGGTTTTGGCATTTGTATAAGGCGAAGGCGCTAACAATTCGTCAATACAAAGCCGAACTCTGTTTACAAAAACCTTTGTCCAGTCTCTTATTCTACCTTGGTTTAAACCTCTTCACTAGTTGTTCCCTGTGAAAAATTTTAATTCCTTTTTTAATTTTCAATTCTAGTTTTAGTTTGCTTTTACTTCAATAATTAATTCACTGTTATCACTGTCATGTGCTCCTTTTGAATATTTTTTCACCGTCTTCACACTTGTTAAACTGATACTCAACTACCTTTCTTCTCACTACTCAATGACAATTTTAACCTTATCAAATTTCTAACGCTTTCTTCCTTTATGCCATTGAGTGCTACGTAATTTACAAATAATCCTATCAGCTATGTCACCAATCCCCCTATTACTCAATAATAGACTACTATACATTTTTGGTAAGTATAAATACGACTGTACAGCCTCTGAAGATGATTTCGTCGATAAAGAAAATATTCTAAACTACACGTTTATTTGACTCATTATTAACGTTCAGCTTCATTTTAGCACTGTTTATTGGAGAAATAACATGTAAGATGACTCATCTACAAAGAATTTCATACAATGAATTCCTTTTATAAATTTGAACAAAGAAAGAAGTAACATTGGCACAGAATAATCTGGATCCATTTTATTTCGTTGGTTCTCATCAGCTGCGTACAACCTGAATTTTTTAATAAAATAAAAATAAAAAGTGTACAATTTAAATAAACCTTTCACTGCGCCAAAGATTGACAAGTAACCCTCACATGTTACCTCTAACTGTGTATACCAATTCACATGTATCTGCGGGAGCAATTACATTGGAAGAACAGAGAGGAGAACCTACGTCAGATTCTGCGAACATGTACCAAGGAGCCTGCGGTTAAAGGGACCGAATTATTTAAGCTCTTTAATCGCCAAACACCTGGTTGACACCGGACACCGAGTAGATGTGCTAGAATCACTCAAAATAATTAACAAACAAAGTACCTCAAGTCTTATCAGGTTTGCTGAAGCTATAGCAATAAAACGATTGAAGCCTGACGTATGTGTCCAAAAAGAATCCGTTGTTGGACTTTAATTACCATGGTGACTCACACCTTAGTAACACTGTGTTTTCTAATATTGTTAACTTATCTTTTCACTCCCCCTCTCCCTTTATTTTTTGCTTGACTCTCTTAAGAGATAATTTTTCTTGATCTTCTGAGTTCTGCTCACTGTATTACATCATCAACTTCTCATCTGACCTCATGTGCACCGAAATTTTAAAATTTTGATCTTCTCTTATCTAATTACGTAACTGTTACTAATTTTCTTTTGTTACCACCCCAACAACACAACTGTTAATTAATTTTTTTTCAAGAAACTTCTCTCTAACAAGATATATATATGTCGTAACACTTTAGACACCCTGTAAATCGCAACGCCTTATTTTACTATGACGCTCTGACAATATGCTTGCTAATGGACAAAGGTTTGTTAAAATTGTACACTTTTTATTTTTATTTTATTAAAAAAATTGAGGTTTTACGCAGCTGATGAGAACCAATGAAATAAAATGGATCCAGATTATTCTGTGCCAATGTTGCTTCTTTCTTTGTTCAAATTATCTACAAAGGACTATTTTTTGAGAGACAGAATTAGTCACGAACTTCAATCAGTTACAGGATTTCATCATGAACTGACATTGGTTAGAGAACCATTGGATAACCTGCAAGGAGTACTGGATAGTTGTTTCGTCAACCTAGTTTGGGACTCTTCATCAGTACGCACCCACGGCTCGTAGACCATTAAGCTACTGGGACCCGATCCAATAGCCAGCCCATGAATTCTAACTTCTGCCAATTCACGACATAGCACGACCACTAGCCAATATCTTCGGCAAGTATTGGTCCTCACGCCTCACCTGTTGTACGCCAGTGGTCACAACTTACCACTAGAACGCCCAGGTAACTACCTACCTGAATAAGGCCAGTGGCTAGTGAGTATCTCATTGATATTCAAGTATTGATTTGTAGGAATTTTGTTGATTGGTTACAGGATTTCATCATGAGCTAACATCGGTTAGACACCGATTACATAGAATGCATGCCAAATAAGGTATCGTTGAGTTTTTATATATTAGGTCGTTTGGGCATAGTCTTTTATAATTAATTCCAGTCACGCCTGATGATGCGCAAAGCAGAAGTTGTCTGTAAAGAGGGTGTTCAGAGTCTGACAAGATGATATTCTCCAATTTCCTGCACGAGTTGTCTCAGCGATACACCACTACTCCACAGTGTTTTTCTTACATTTCTTTCAGAAAATGCATATAAGTAGGTTGTAACCTATTTGAAGCCTATATGAGTGAGTATAGATAGTGAGTTTGTTTTGTAAGCATAAACTGGATGACTTCAACATAATATGAAATGGAGTAAACAGGATGCATTTCGATGAATAGAAAATTTTGAGGAGCCATGTTAAAGAATAGCGATAGTACTGATAACATTCAGCAAGTTACTGAAATCAGATAGTGTACTCACAGAAAACAGGTGAAAGTAGAGCAAGAATATTAAACAGGATATCTAGTCAATCTATGGTTAGAGTTCGGGACTCGAATTCGAAGGTAGTTGGTGCATTCGTTCCTCTTGTGTCTCTATTCTTTATCTTAGCCAATTCAGGCAGTTCAGTTATGTTAACCTAACCCGAATCTATCCCTAAGTAACCTTAACCTGATCCTTATTTTCACTACTTTGCGTTCCGAAAGGCTTCAAGCATGAACTTTGAGGATTTTGAAGTAGTTGTGAGATTGTTAGCTTCACAGGCCCAAGCTTCCCTCTTTATCAGGCTTATGATTAGCTAAGCAGCGTTTAACAGTGTGTCGACAGAGAGTCGAACCCGAATAATTTGCGTAACTGGCAAGTTTTCTATCACTAAGCCACAAGAACACGATTTAATCCTACAGTGACCTTTCTTGATCGTTTCACTACTCTACTCTGATTAAATATTCCAATATCATGATGTATTTGTACCTCTCAATAGAAAATAAAAAGAAGCAATAATAATAATATCTAAAATAAAACAAAAAACACACAACGGGAAATAAAGAGTTAAAAAAGCAACAACTTACAATGAAACCTTTATACCATTTTTTAATTTGTGCTTCAGTGAAATGTGTTTTAGCTGAAAGTTTTTTCAATTCTGCTTTACTAATCCCTTTACTAGAATGAATTGCACCCATAATTTTTTTTTAAATTATTATTATGATTTAATTTTTAATGATCACAATTTAAAATAATATGTCAACTGAATGTTAACGAGTTATTTGAATTTTTTATTACTGTGTGTTGTTAAAATAATCCATTGAAACATTGAATTTTGAGCGGTGTATTCAAATAACAATGGGAAGCACTTCTGTTTGCTGCTAATACTACTAACAGTTGATCTACAGTAGTATTTTGAAGTGATGTTATGTTTCTTTCTTGGTTTTAAATTCTATGTGAATGGATGGAATGACAGACACATTGGTGTGTGTTTTGTTTGTATAGTCAACGGGGTACACCCACGCATTGAATGAACACTAACATGTATCATGGTTGGTTGATACATTATGCTGTATGATTGTGTGTATGTCTATATACGTGTGTGTTATATTAATCCCATTCAGTGTATAGGCATTAGTCAATATTTTGGTGCAATCAAAAATGCCCACTTGCATCAATACGTCTTCCCTATCGCGTGGGTGTACTGTGTCAGTGTGTATAAGACGAGTGTCTGATTGACTACCACCATTAATAGCGTCAATGCGTGTAGGTAGGATTAACCTTGAACTAAAGGAAAGATGAGGTTGAAATATCCCTTACAAAAATTGAAAAAAAATTTTATCAGCATCTTTAAAATGTAATAGTATACCTTCACAATTTTGATATGAGTCACTCAAAACCTCTCATGTAAAAATGAAAGGGCAAAAAAATAACAAAATCTGCATATGGAAAAACAAACGAGGCGTGAATTGTCAACACTTTTACTCTTTAAATCAATAATTTTCTATAAAAAAAAGTAGAAATTAACTATTTCTGTCAACACGAACGACACTGAAAAAAAAACAGTGAAAAGAATGGTCAGATTTTGAATTTTACTGAAATTGTTTTATTAGCTGATTCACTTTCAGTATGCTGTTATAATTTGGTTTAGGGGTCGCGACTAGAGGCAGAATCTAGCCTGTGCATTTCGTCCTATTTGGGACTCGTCAGTGATTATGATGTTCCCCCACTGATACTCGAGACTAAACATTACTCCTAGTTTCAAATGCCAAAGCGATGTCAAGCAAATCATTTGGGCCACTAGAGCATCGTTCTGTGGGTTCCTACCAAACCATTTAAGCAATCTCATCACGGATGTAACCGTCCAGTTGGATGTCTCTGGGAGTGATGTTCACGCGTTTGGCATGGATGCCACACAAGTTCGAAAACACCAATCAAGTAAGGCTTCATGGAGAGTGGTTCCCGCTAAGTCTTGGAATCGCAGGTCAGTCTTGAAGTCCTTGGGTGATCTCACTAATGATATGTTGGAAGGGCAGTTTGCGGACCACAAGTTCAATGCCCTTCTGGTAAAGACGGATTTCACGGAGAGCAACAGTTCCTGGCCTGTATCTTCTTGGTTTCTTAACGTCACCAATAGCTTGTAAGCACTATACGGGCAGCCGTAGTGGCCAGATGCTTTCTTGGGGCCGTGCCACCAGTAGATTTGTAAGCAGTTTACTTTTTATAGAGGCTGAACATTTCAGTCTAATCAGTCAACAGGAAAATCAAGATTGAAGCAAATAAATAACAGCCAGTAGCTGTTGCATAAGAGATGACTATGTTGGCCAAAAATGGCTTAGTCGATAACACTTTTAACGGATTTAAAACGATGGGTTCTGGGTTGAAGTCTCTATGGGAGAACAATATCACTCACTAGGAAAGATGTAGGTACATCCAGTTGATGAATCCGGAAGTGGATGAAATACACATCCTGGGTTGTAGTGCTTGCTAGCTACCATCCATCGAATACCGTCATGTTAATCGTCGAAGCGCTCGAACTAAGATCCGAATTCCAAAGCAGAGGTAGAACATTTCGCTCCATCAGTCAACGGGAAAATCAAGACTGACTAAAACAATTTTTTAATTTTTATTCCTTTACGTTCCCAGTGGAACATAGAGCTTCAAGCTAGAGACGAGGTAAAGGAGTGCGTTGGCCGGACCACCTGCGAGGTCGGTGAGCACTCTACCGCTGTGCCACCGACGCACGACTAAAACAAATAATCTCAAGCTTTTTGCCTAGACGTCTTCCTCACCAGGAAGGTGGATGGTTCATAGAGCTAGGATAATCTGTTCACTCGACTCTCTCAATAAGGAGCTCAAGATTATCCAGAGAGTTACTTAGCAAAAATGAACATCCAGATAAATTCATTGAGAAAAATTTGAATTTAGCACTAAAACTAGCCACTAAGGCAACAGTTCCATAAAAAAAACCATTGTTCATAAAACTCCAGTCCTCGGTGACAACATCAGCGAAATATTAACACAACGTCTGAAGAATGCAATTAAAAGAGCTTTCAGTGCAACAGAGGTGCGTTGTCTATCCACTACCACCCCTATTTTACCTTCAAGAGATAGAGACAAACTACCTAATTTCGCCTCCGTTATGTGCATCTATCAGTTTGACTGCAGCTGCGGAGTCAGCTACATTAAACGTAAAATTAAGCAGGTTCATCATCGTATTTCCGAACATCATCCAGCATGGTTAAGCAAGGGATAAACAAGATCTATTCTTAGCTCTTTTTTAGCACACCTTGTAGACACTGAGCATAAAGTTGATATGTTAATACAGCATTTAAAATTATTTATCGCAATCCAACTAATCTATATTCTGCGTTACGAGTTTATCTTCTACATACACCTGAAGTCATCGGAATCCACTTGAAGGAGTCAAACCTGTGTGTTCAGAAGAAATTCCTACAGCCACTTCGCTTACCTTAGTCATCATCACACGAGTGTATAAACCTGACAACTTCACCCTCCCACTAAGCCTTTTGAAAATTATCATTGTCCAAATCGTTTTATTTTTCTTTTAAATCACGAAAAATACCCATTTATTCATAAGTAAAAACACAGTTTTTTGTTCAGCGAAGAAATTTCTTTTCAACGACTTCATTTTCAAGCTGTACGGTTGTATTTATATTACAGAAAAAGTTATTAAGTGGCACTAAATAATTGCTCAGTCAATATACATATATGTGATAAGAATAACGATAATTAAAATGTTATAAGGGGTAGAGTTGAAGTGGATGAATTACAAAATTATTAAAGATTGTTTAATAAGTGAATTGATATCAAAAATTTTTAAAAATGTCAAGTGTTGTCAACAAATTTTAAAAATTAGGAGTACGATTACGATAAGAATGAAGATGTGAAGTGAAGGGGAAAGAGTTCAAGTGGTAAAATAAAATAAAATAAAAACTAGAAAGAACATTACTATGACCAAGGTAAAGAAAGGGGTTTGACAAAACGTTTTTGAACACATAATTTAGGTTTCTGTTCATGTATAGCTAAAGCTTCGGCTATGCATAAGTGAAGAAAACGTAAACTTTTGGAGCGATTTGATTTTGTTATGTAGATAACGTTGAAGGATGAATCACGTGGGGCTGAATGACCAGACTCTAACAGGTAATCACAAATAGACGACTTCGCAGTTCTACGTTCGCCTTTCATTAACCAGACTGGATAGTGTTCAGCTACACGTTTTCGGAGATTACGCTTACAACGTCCAATATAAACAGCTCCACAGGAGCAGGTAAAAGAGTAAATGCATCAAGGATAGATTACCGCTTATGTCCACATCTATGTGCATTTCTCCACTAAATCCCTTTGCTTACCAAATGTTTAAATTGGGATTTTTGGTAGGTGTTCAGGAAATCTAAGATAGATTCTTGTTTCTGTACTTCCAATACATATCTGTTTTAGTAGCTACACGCAAATTAAGCCAATAAAGGAAGCGTATCAGCTGACTGCCTACAATCTCCACGATGAAAGTTAATGGTTTTAGTACAACTCGACTTATTACTTAACCATTTTCACACCCTTAGTTACAATTTGATTAGTGTTCAGTATTTCGAAAGATATTTTAGGATGTTCGTAGGTGGTTCAGTGGTAGAATGCCCACCACCCTCCTAGAAGGTCCGGGTTTCAACCCCGACGAACACACAACTTTACGTCAACTAGTTTATTAAAGCCCAGTAGGCGTGGTATAGACGGATGATTAAACATGAGTATAGGAACTTCAATCCCACCACTGAAACTACGAAGCTTGAGAACCCTGTGTTCCACTTGGAATACAAAGAATGAAAAAATACTTCAAAATATTTTGATGATGTAAGCAATATTTCAAATTAAATTATTTTTATCTTTTCTTGCTATCGGGTGGGAGGGGGGAAGCATTAAATGTCTATCGTTAATAATTTTATTATATAATTGTACACTCTACATTACTGAAAATACTATTTGCTCAAATTATAATTATTATTATTGTTTCCTTTAATTCCTAGAGGAATATAGGGCTTCAGACACACGTCTCCATTGCCTCCAGTTCTCTACCAACGTTTTCACCTGAATCCACGTCTGCCCACATGCTTTCATCCCCTCTTCACATCACCTCCTCCATGTCACCCCACCCTCGCACTGACGACCACATCGCCGCTTCAAATTCGGGTTCCACTCAAGAGAGAGAGAGCATGGCGTGTGATGTCACTCACTTGATGGTTTGTTTTCTCAGAGTATGTCCAATCCACCTCCATTTCTTCCTGCATATTTCTTGTACACTTGGTTCCTGCTAGGTTGGTTCGTTCATTGCCAGAGATCCCTGTTGCTCATCTTTCCTGGCCGGCCATCTCATCTTCAGTAGTATTGAGCGAATACAGCTGTTGATGAAGAAGGTGTGTAGTTTGTTTGAAGTGCCCTTCGTGACGCTGCGCGGGGCCAAGTCTCTGATCCATATAGTAAGTGGCACTGACTTCACATTGCAGTTGAAAATCCGGATCTGATCTTCGTTTTCATGCTGAGTAGTGCTGTTGATCTCCACACAGACTCGAGAGAAATGAAAGCTTGCTTTGATTTCCAGATCCTCGCACTTTAATATCCTTATCAGTTCTGTCCACCTGTAGTTGAAACGATGCTTCCCAGGTAGGTAGGTGAAGGAGGTTGCTTCTTTCAGAATTCCTCCCATTTATGCTGATTGCTGTCCATTGTTGTTGTTAATGTTGCTGTTTCTGTTGGCCAGGAATCTTCATCACCCCTGTTTTCTCTATGTTCACCTGAAATCCTATCTTCTGTGGATGCTTCTTCTGCCAACTTGTTTATTTTCACTTGTATATCTTCCAGTTTGTAGGAAATCAGATATATATCATCACCGGCGAAGTCCTGATCCTCCATGTTTTTGTATGGGTGCATTTTATGCCTGTCT